TGCCTACATCTTACAGGGTTTCTCCAATGTTCTCTAATAATTTGATGGTGTCAGGTCATAGATTTAGATCTTTAATCCATGTTGAGTGGGTTTTTGTGTAAGGTGTAAGGTAAGGGTCTCGCTTCATGCTTCTGCATGTGGAAATCCAGTTTTCCCAGCACCATTTGTTGAATAGACTGTCCTTGCTCCAGGAATTGGTTTTAGATCTTTGATCAAATATAAGTTGGCTGTAGATGTTTGGATTAATTTCTGGTATTTCTATTCTGTTCCATTGGTCTATCCATCTGTTTCTGTACCAGTACCATGCTGTTTTGATAACAACTGCCCTGTAGTATGTCCTGAAATCTGGTATTGTGATGCCTCCAGCTTTGTTTTTGCTGTACAAGATTGCTTTAGCTATTCAAGGTCTCCTGTGTCTCCATATGAATTTCAGCATCATTTTTTCCTGACCTGAGAAGAATGTCTTTGGTATTTTGATTGGTATCTCATTGAATCTATAAATTGCTTTTGGGAGAATGGACATTTTGATGATATTGATTCTTCCAATCCATGAGCATGGAAGATTTTTCTATTTTTTGGTATCCTCTTCTATTTCTTTCTTTAAGATTTTGTAATTCTCATTGTAGAGATCTTTAATGTCCTTGCTTAAGTTTATTCCAAGGTATTTGATTGTTTTTTGTAGCTATTGTGAATGGGTTTGATCTTAGAAGTTCTTCCTCAGCCGTGGCATTGCCTGTGTATAAAAAAGCTGTTGATTTTTTTATACTAAATTGATTTTCTGTTTTATATCTGTATATAAAGATAATTGAAAATGAATCTTGATGCGAATGGAATGGGAGGGGGGTGGGAGATGGGAGGGTTGCGGGTGGGAGGGAAGTTGTGGGACGGAAAAAGCCATTGTAATCCATAAGCTGTACTTTGGAATTTTATATTTATTAAATAAAAGTTAAAAAAAGAAATCTGATCATTCACACTCAAATGTGTGAAAGGTAACATTGGTGATAGTATTGAACTATGAAGGAAGAAGAAACCTGGTTGTATTAAGATTATGTCACTCACCAGCAGCCACTTTGAGAGAAGAAAATAGACATCTTTTATAATTTCATGTGTTAATAATTGTCACAGGGTTGTTCACAAAGTTTTAACAAGTAGTCTAGATATTAGGTGATGTGTAAATGTCCGTTTATGACCTTAAGAAATCCTTCTTAATGGCCTGTAAGGATAATGAAGGAGAACTTTTAGAAATAGCTTTATCATGACCAAAACCACAAAGCCTATATCAGCTCTCTCTTCCAGCTCCAAATGTGACCTAGTGAATTGTGAACAGTCTGGCCTTATATGACCTATCATCCCAGATCTCTGAAAAGAAACATTTTATCCCTTTTTTATGGCAACTTCTGTAGCACTTCTTTTTGAGGAATCATTTCCACAGTTGGAAGAATACATTTCAGGGGCTGGTGCTGTGGTGTAGCGGGTAAATTCTTTGGGCCCCAGCACTTGCGTGGGAGACCTCAAAGAAGCTCCTGGCTCCTGGCTTAGGATCGGCACAGCTCCAGCTGTTGAGGCCAATTGCAGAGTGAATCAGCTGATGGAAGACCTCTCTCTCTTCTGCCTCTCCTTCTCTCTGTGTAACTCTGACTTCAAAATAAATAAAATATTAAAAAAAGAAAATAAAAAGAATACATTTCAGCCCTTCTTTTCCTTGGTGCTGCCTTCAGAGTTGTCTACTCTACATCATGGCTTCCCTCAGATACCTTGTAAAGCCCAAGATTTTCAAAAAGAGGAAGAAGAAGTCCATCCAGCACTGCCCAGACCAATGTGACAAGATTAAGCATTAACGGGTGGAAACCCAGAGGTACTGACAACAGAGTGTGGAGAAGATTTGGGGTACAGATTTTGATGTCTAAGATTGGCTATGAGAGCAATAAGAAAACAAAGCAGATGCTGCCTAATATCTTCTGGAAGTTCCTAGTTCATTATGTCAACCAGCTGGTGCTGCTTCTGATGTGTTGGGATTGTTCATAAGACTCCTCTGTGAACTGCAAAACCATCACGGAAGAGTAGCTCTGATGGCAGACTGATCAGTCCCAGTGCAAGGCTGTGCAGTGAAGAAACAGAACAGACAGTTCACATACAAGTTTTATTAATATTTGAATAAAACCATGAAAACTGCAAAAAAAAAATTTCAGAATGATGGCATCAATAAGCATTGTTCTCCAACTCCAAAAATTCCTAAATAATGAACACAATTTGGTTAAATCACATTCTTTTTTTCCCCTAAGATTCATTTACTTGTTGAAAAGGCAGAGTTACAGAGAGAGGGAGCAATGGGCAGAAAAAGGATCCTTCATCTGCTGGTCTACACCCCAAATGGATGCACTGGCCAGGGCTGGGTCAGGCTGAAGCCAGGAGTCAGGAGCTTCGTTCGGGTGTCCCATGTAGGCACAGGCAGCAGAGCACTCGGGCATCTGCAGCGTTCCCAGGCACATTAGATGGGAACTGGATTTGAAGCTGAGCAGCCAGGACATGAAATGCAACCTACATGGGATGCCAGCATCACAGTCACAGGCTTTACCCGCTACGTCAGAATGCCGGTCCCCTGTACTATATTCTTTTAGAATTACAAAAAATGTATTAGTGTATACTTATAACTAGATTTGCATTAAAATAGAATACAATGTAGCACTTTTTCTTTAGATAATTGAGATCAAAACCAAAACATTATATTTTAAATAAAATAATGTATCTCTCCTCTTATAAACATTTGCAGTCCCTTGCATACCTTGATTGCTTGGAGACTCTTCAATGTATGTCATTCCTTTCTTTCTTCATTTTAGGTGTTTTGAGAGTACAGACAGTGGATTTCTATGAAGAATCTTTTTAAAGATTTATTTATTTATTCCAGACGTAGAGTTACAGACATAGAGATGGAGAGACAGAGAGAGAGGTCTTCCATCTGCTGCTTCACAGCAGCCGGAGCTGTGCCTATCCGAAGCCAGGAGCCAGGAGCTCCTTCTGGGTCTCCCATGCGGGTGCAGGGGCCCAAGGGGCCATCTTCCACTGCTTTCCCAGGCCATAGCAGAAAGGTGGATCAGAAGTGGAGCAGCCGGGGCTAGAACCTGTACCCATATGAAATGCCGGCACTTCAGGCAGTGGCTTCACCTTCTTTGCCACACCCTCCTTTGCCGGCCCCTCCCTAGCACTTTGAGCAATACCCATTCTATAGCAGTGCATGAAAACCTTTTTCTGAACACACCTACTGATCCATGGTGGTCTTGTCTGATCAAAATCTTGATATAATTTGCCTTTACTTCAGATACAGGCAAGCAGAATGAATGAAGCTGAAAACTTGGTTTGAGGTGGAGAATCCCTGGAGCAGAGGAATTATCAGCACCCTCCAGCAGTTTCTCCCCAGGCTTATGGGAGAAAAGTTAAATGGAATTCTGTGCTGCTTAAGGACTTTGACATACTACGTTCTCTTACCAGTTGTATTCTCAGGCAGAATGCTAACATTTCTCACTGAATTGCTTTTCGGCTTGACATTCTTTTCTCTGGACGAGTTTGTTAATGGGTTTGCACATGACTCTTGACAAACTTACGATTCTGTGGGAGTTGGCTCTAGCCCCACTCAAGTTCTGAGACCCATTTAGTCCACAGTCTTTGCTTTGGCAGCACGAGCTGCCATTGGCCTCACTTGGTGAGTTAGTAGCTCAGGCCTAAGATCCATGGAATCCTGTGGAGGAATCCCCAGTGCATTCTGAGGTGAGGCAAAAAATGCTTCTGCATCACACTGAAGGACTGTGTGCTCAACAGGTGCAGAAGATCAGTGTCTGAGTTCCTCACTAAGCTCCAAAGCTTCAGGGATGAAGGCAATAAAAGACCACACTGTTTGCAGGGGAGTGAATAACTCTCCCCTTTCATTTTCACCAGCTCTTTGGGTTTATTGCTCCTTGCCTTTTGAAAGTTGCAAGCGCCTCTGTAGTGTAGGTAAGACATGCTGTCCTTCCAGCTGGCTTCATGATCAGTTCACATCCTTCATCTACTCCTTGGGTGGTTTTATTTTTCCTGAAATTGGCTACTCCATGAAATGCTGCCTACTTTATTTTGTGTAACTTATTTGTGTAACTTTTTAACGAATTGGATCTGTGTGCAAAAATAGCTGGAAGAAACAAAACCAGAAACATGAAAAACAAAAAACTATCACCTACATTTTTTTTCCAATTAGAGACAACAGTTTAGTAGCATTGGAGTACATTGCTGGCACCATCCCGCCTGTGTTTGTTTTTAATACCACTATACCTTGTCTTATAATATAACAGCTTTTTATTTTCAATGATATTAACTGTCTTCAGGGAGAAGGAGGCAGAAGACCTCTCCAGGACCTGAGAGTCTTATAAATAAATGAGTTTTTTAACCTCTGCTGTAATACAGATATCTTTTCAATATAATATTAAGACCCTTTGTGACAGGATCTGTCATTTTAAATACAAAAAATACTATGCCCATGGAATAAGAATACTTACTTGGCAGATGAAAAATATTCATGCTTAATTTTTACTTCCTGTGGCTGACAGTACAGAATTCCATGTTGTTTTACGCTGCCATAATTACAGGGGCTAAATGAGAGGGTAACAGGTAGGCAAACCATAATTAAGTGGGCAACAGACGATTGATGGTAAATCTGTGTCAGAATTCCTTGGTTTCCCTCATCTTCTCAGTCCTCAGTCATGCATATCCAAGAAGACAAAATGCCTGGATACCTCTGGAAACACTAAGGGAATTCCAGGAAATTATGTGCAAATGGTGAACATTATAATCAGTATCAGTAGGATTTTGACTTAGCTCACTTAGTCTTTTTGAATATCCTTCTTAAAGAAACATAGACGGCTCCTGATTAAGGTCATAAACATCAACCAACTACAGCACCTGCTGGGAAATGGGATTGTCAACACTGCATCATTTCTGCCACTATTAAAAATTAGACATTTTAGGGACAGGTATTATGTTCAAAGTTCTTTGCTAGATACTTGTGTGGCTATAAGAAGGTGTTCCTAATTATATGCTTGTATCAACCAAACATAAATAAAATTTTAACATCTCCAAAAATTTAAATGCATTTGCAAATTTTCTAACAATGCAAAATCAAATAGAATGTTATATATGTCACGATAATATGTATTGCCAAGTAGGCAGTACAAATATGTGCTGTGAGCTTGGAGGTAAGTAATATGGCGTAGTTCTTTAATTGATCTGGAAAGAGCTAATGACGAAGTAAAGAAAAGACAGAGTAGGTAAGTTACAAAAATGTGATAGATGATTGATTGATAGATTAGATAATGGTATGTAGATAGACAAACAGACAGACAAGCATTCCAGATGGGGCACTGGGTATACACAAGGCACAGGAAAGAATAGTGATGTGTTCTCATACAGTGTTTGGTATGAGATGCCAACAGAAGTTAACAGTTTTTTTTTTAACTAAAACTTAAATGTGTATAAATTCAACATTTATAAAAAGATTTATTTATTTATTTGAAAGAGTTTACAGAAAGAGAGGGAGAGAGAGAGAGAAAGAGAGAGAGTGTGAGTGCTTCCTTTTGCTGGTTCACTCCCTAAATGGCCTCAATGGTTGGAGCTGGGCCAGTCTCTGGTCTGAAGCCCAGAGCCAATAGCTTCCTCTGGTTCTCCCACATGGATGTAGGGGCCCAAGGAATTGGGCCATTTTTGCTGGTTTTCCAAGCACATTAGCAGGGAGCTGGATCAGAAGTGGAGCAACCTGTATAAGAACTGGTACCCTGATGGGATGCTGGAGTTTCAGGTGGCAGCTTTACTGGCAATGCCACGTTGCCAGTCCCAAATTCAACATATTTTAATATTATAATCATTATTCATAGTTTTAATTAAGAGTATCTGGGATTTGATGTTGTGGTGTAGCAGGTAAAGCTGCTGCCTGCTGTGCTGGGAATCCCATATGGGCGTCCACTTCCAATCCAGCTCTCTGCTATGGCCTGGGAAAGCAGTAGAAGATGGCCCAAGTGCTTGGGCCCCTGCAGTAGCGTGGGAGACCTGAAGAAGCTCCTGGCTCCTGGCTTCAGATCGGCGCAGCTCTGGCTGTTGCGGCCAACTGGGGAGTGAACCAGTAGATGGAAGACCTTTCTCTCTCTCTGACTTTCCTTCTCTCTCTGTGTGTAACTCTTTCAAATAAACAAATAAATCTTTTTTTTTTTTTAAATGAGTAGCTGGACTGAATCAATTATCACTGATTTAACTATCTGAAGAAATTGAGACTCATGCAATTTAAGAGGCATTCTCAACAACAGAGATATTGGGGGCCAGTGTTATAGCATAGTGGGTTAAGCTTCTACCTCTGATGTCAGCATTCTATGTGGGTTCTGGTTCAAGTTCCCATGACTCCATTATGATTGAGCTCCCTGCTGATGTGCCTAGGAAAGCAGCAAAAAATGACCCAATTATCTGAGCCCCTGACACCAACGCTGGAGACCCAGATGAAGCTTCTTGCTCTTGGCCTCTGGCTGGTCTAGCGCTGGCCACTGTGGCCATCTAGGGGAGAGAACCAGTAGATGGAAGATCTCATGCTGTGTCTTTGTCTCTGTTTCTCTTTCTCTCTCTGTAACTCTTTCAATAAATAAATAAGCAAATCTTAAAAAATAAGAGTAGTATAAAATTAGTTTTAAAAATTAAAAAAATAAAGATGGTGGCAATAATTGTTCTAAGACAACGTTTCTGATTTCTCAATATCTTACTCTTAATACAATGCTACTTAGATCGAGGATAAAGTATTTTACTAACAGGAGAGGAAAGGGAAAGAAGAAGTGGATAAAAAGGAAAGGGTGAAGGAAAGGCACAGAATGACATCAAAGACCACTGGTTGCAGTGGTTACAAGAGAGAATACAGGAAAAATGAATGAAGCAAAACATATTTATTCATTACTATTTTTCTGTTTTTTTTTTCTTTCCCTATTTTGAAGAGTTGTATGGCTAACATTGGTCCTTTTGACCTGGTGGGATGAGAGCCTGTCTTTGGTCCATTCTCTCTCATTACAATGGAAAGGAGGAAAAAAGAATACATTCTCAGACATTGCAGCTGAGAGATTGCTTCTATAATGTTACTAACACGATGGCAATGAAGATCTTTGCACCACAACTCAAACAAGGTGCAGGTAAGTCCACTGATGTTGCACATCAGTCATGAATTCCCCTGCACTCATGTCTGAAAAAGTCCTCTGCTTACTGCAAATTGACAGATCTCTGGAAAGTCACTGGTATATTTCAATCAGTACATACAAATATTAAAAGTCAAATAAAATTATAATCAGGAAGCAGATGCACAGGCTAGATGTAATTCCCCTTCTGCCCTTTCACCATGTTGACCAGCTACTACAAAGCCTAAAGCCCCTGTTGTCTGTAAGTATAAGTGGATGTTGCCTGAGTTTTAATCCCAATTCCAGAACTTACCTAAATGGTTAGACTTTGACAAATTATTTTACATCTCTGTTTCTCAATTTTCTTACTTGCTAAATGGTAATAACTTCATTGTATACCTGCCAGAATGTTAAGAATCTGATGCACATACAGCATTAACTGAGATTTTCATGCTATAGGTCTCCCTTCTTATATGTTATTACTATTTGGTTCCAATGTAAGAGGACTTCCATAAGAAAAAGAAGAAAATGATATTGGAGCAAAGAAGTATGGTATCTTCTAAGTCTCAGTATCGGTATCCATAATCAAAACAGGAATAATATTTGCTTTTCTGACCTATTACTCAGGGTAGACAATGAAAAAAATTGTGTTAAGCCTAAGCATCACAGGCTTAATATAATAAAAGTTAATTTCTTCTTGTGAGTGTCTAATGTAGATGTTTGGTGAACGGTACTTCTTGCTGTGATTCATGACCCAAGACCCCTCCATTTTTTTTGGTTCTTATTTATGACTTCCATCTCTCTAGTTTGTGTTTGTGGGTGGGAACACAGAAACCTATGCAGATGAATTTGTTGTGGCATGTCTTTAGTTCAAGTAGTGAACAAAGAGAACTTCCAAAGATTGAGTTGGAGTTTTAGACAAATGCAAGAAAATGTCATCATGGAGAGATGGAGAGAGAGTTTTGCAGCATTCCTGTCCAACTCCTTCCAGGAGGGAAAGTTCTTGACCTGGAAAATCATTGACTTATTTTGAGTACTCATCTATTAGACCCTGTATGAAGGAAGTGATTAGAGCTTTGTGAAATTCTGAACAATCGTTCTACTCCTTATTTGAGCTTCTGGTCCAGGAAAACAAATTTCCCTATTTATACAAAACCAACCAACAAGCAAGCAAATAAAACAGAGAACAGAACCATGGAGAAGTAGCAGAATGCAGTGTGCTGGTAACCCTCCCTGGTATCTTACACTGAGTCTCATTTCATTCCCCTGTTGGGTATCATCACACTCAGGTTTACTCTATTTGTGTGTTTCTAATACAACACTCCCTTGAATAAACTCTTCTTACATGATGAGTGTTATTTCTTATAAAGTTATTATTAGAAATACACGTGCTTGGTTGTCACTTACGTCTCCACTATTTAAATGTTAGGCCCATCTCTCAAAAAGAACAAATATAAAAGCACTCAAGAAGTATCTAATTCATATAGGTACTATTTGGGTTATTTGGGTTTATTGTCACATGAATGTGTTCATTGAATCTCTGTTGCTTCAATGAAAACATATTTTCCATTTGCAGTAGCTGTCTGATGGTGATTTCGTTGCTTACATTAGAAAATGGGAACTTCCTGAAAGCACTCATCTCCATCCTTCTCCCCCCACATTGTTACTAGAAGGTTGAATTTTCAGATCAAGAAATGGGCTTGAGGAGTAGGTTTTGGGCACAGTGTTTAAGTCGCCGCTTGGGAACCATTCTCTCATGTCAGAGTGCCTATGCTCAAGTCCCAGCTCCTCTCAACCGTAGCTTCCTGCTATTGCGCACTGTTGATACCGTCTTTCTTATTAATATTTTTTCAATATCAATAAGCTCCTGGGTCCTTGCCACATATTCAGAGAATTCTAAACACTGGCTCAGATAGATCAGACAACATGTTAAGGTTTTAAGCTTCTTATTCAGTGAGAGATGCATAGGAAAGTGAGGGCTTTATTTAGGGGAGAAAGCAGAGTCTAGAAATTAAGTTGGGTCCATACCAAGCAGAGAGCAGGCCAGGAGCAAGCCACATGCAGCAAGCATGCAGGCAGGAAAGCAGGGAGCTGGTGGGGGAAAGGCCACACACCCTGAAAGCATGGGCAACGAGGGCAACAAAGGGAGGGGCCCACCGTGTTCCAGACTTTTTATTCACTTCCAAAGGTGAGTGGTTACATAGCCTGATGGGCAGATGGACATACAAGTGGGGTCAGGTAGGGGCATGAGATCACACAGGGGCATGGTGAAGGAGTGGTCTTCCAGCTCACAAACCCAATCAGTTTTGACCTATCTGCCTGCCTATATCACTCTGAGAGACAGCGGGTGATACCTCAGGTACTCGGGTTCCTATTATCCATGCGGGAAGCAAAGACTGAGCTTCCTGGCTTTGTCCTAGCCCAGATTTGGCTGGTGCAAGCCTTTGAAGAGTCAGTCAGTAGATGGAAGGTCTCTTTCTGTCAGTGTCACACATACAAATTTTAAATGAAACAAGATTTACTGATTTTTTTTTCTATCTTCATTATACTTCAATTAGACTTGAATATATGGAAGAAACTAACTGGAAGTTTTTGTCTTAATAGCTTAGGAACTTTTTCCCATACATTAAAAATTCTGTCAGCCACATTTTCCAATTTTGTTTAGTGGATCCCTAACTTCCCAAATTTCTGGAGTCAAAAAGTGTTAAATTTTTTAAAGTCCTGCTATTCCAATGAAACAAAACTTCCCTTGCTGCCCTTGCTACTTCTTGAATACCTTAATGGCACATGCAGTGTTAGCTGTTTTATACACATCATCTCAAGGGACAGGCGTAGAGTTTCCTCATCCCACTTCCTCACCCACCAGAACAAAGAGTGCATGCAACAAGCCACAGTGTTTGCATTTCACTTCTAGAATTTCCACAACACAAGCTCCCATTTTCATTTGTAGTAATGAGAAAAGCTCACAACAACAGTTCTCACCACTTCCCTTCTTATTGTTCTTGTTTGGAAATGGGCTATAAAACTTTACCACCTCATCATTGTAGATCGCGTTAAAAAAATAAAATAAAATAAAATAAAATCTAATTTACATTTTGTTCCGACTGGTTTTCTTGACTGACAGTTGTCCACAGCTCAGTGGCTGCTCTGTTCAGTGTACTTTAATTTTGAGCTTTCAAGTATTTCGGAAGCCCATTCAGAAGTAAATTCTCAGAGAAAATTGAGCTCTGTCATGGATGGATTAGTACTATAATAGTTGGTCACATATCTTGCATGAAACCTTTCAGAAGCAAGGCAAATGAGAAGGAAATGAAATTCATTTCATACTTCTTCAAGCACGCTAAGAGACTTTCTCTCCAAGTAATCTGTGAAGTAGCACTGGTTTATTGGAGGTTCGCATAACTACCATTACATTATACCTTGTCACAATCTCATGTATTGGGTGACTGCTTTTTCTGAACGGATGGTACCTGCAAAGTGCTCTCTGAAGGCACTGAACAGCGAGTGTCATTTCTTTGATCAAAATGTATAGGTCTAGGGAATAGCATAAATAAAAGTACTTGAGCTAAATTGGACCATTATAGGTCAGAGGTGAATAAAATCTGAAAAGCAGATATATGGAGGAGTCATCACATTTACTATTTTATATATTGATAAACCAAAGACCAAAGAGGAAGGGTGACCAGAGGGTGGAGGAAGAGGCGTGTGTGTGTGTGTGTGTGTGTGTGTGAGAGAGAGAGAGAGAGAGAGAGAGAGGGAGGGAGGGAGAGGGAGAGAGAGAGGGAGAGAGGGAATGAAAGAGAAATAATTGTTAGATATATTTCATGGGACAAAAAAAGGCTTTGTACTTTTAGCACTTCTGTAATGATAGGTATTTGGTTACAATGTCAATAACAATAATGCCAGCATTTCATTGGAAAGTACACATGCATGTGTTGGATACCATCTTGCCATGTAATAAATACTCTGTGTTATCTAACAATGATATATTATGTAAAGTATTAGGATCAGGAAAGGATGAAAATCTGCATGTAAGTTTTATTTTGGTTGACAACTCTTTTGCTTTTCTGAAGTTTTTAAGCACAACTAAACTATTCAAAAATTGGAAGAAGAGGTCAATTATCAGTTATTTTCTTATAAATAATAACAAAAACAAAAAAGGTAAGGATTGATTTATTTTCCCTGTTAGAATTAATTAGTTCATTCTTTAGGGTTATTCAACATGCCATCTCACCGTGGGTGAATCGATAATATGGAAAAACTTGACTTGACTGCACTGAGGAACAGATGTTAATGCATAGAAAACAAGGGTCACTTGAGAGTTTTCATTCCTGTCACAGCTTAAACATACAGATGAGGTGCAGTAAGTTTCAAAGCAGTCCGAATTGAAGTAAGCAGTATAGGTGTAAGACTATTTTGGCCACAAATCTGAAGAGCTGGGTGGTTGGGTGTGTCTTCATGGTAGATAGGTAGGCAACAGCTAGTGCAGACTTGTTTTAGAGGACTGAGAGCTCAATGACAGAGCTGATGTGTCATCCCTCAGTGGGCGATCACTAGGTGCTTATACTACAATTAAAGACTATAATATTTGTGTTCCTAGGGGCTGTTGGAGAGCTAGTAATCCGTTAGAGACAGGACTACACAGATAAGGAGAAAAGAAGAGCTTTGGAAAGGTAAGAGAAGAAGAGAAGAATTTTAATTAAATCTCATCACTCACATTCTGATACAAACCTGCCTTGTGAAATCAGTTATAAACATATAAAATTTGCCAACACTGGTATTTAATGCAAATCAGAGAAGGACACAACCTCTATGTCATGCATGTCTGTGTCTACATTGTAGTGAACTCTCTCTCGTAGTCTTCACTTTCTGGCTAACTTTATATTTCTTCCAGACCCAGAGGTCTTTATCTGGGATGCCTCTCACGGTTTGCTGTCCTGTCTTCCTAAAATTTGTGCTGCCAGACGAGGCTTTGCTTGTGCAGAAACTGTTCCAGATGAAAAGAACACTTAAAGTTATATCAGGTAATACTATAACTGAAATAAATCAATCAACCCATGAATCCTGGCAACTTTAGGGAAGAAGTTGCTAAAAGCAAGCCATTTTGGGTGCTTGTTAAATATTATTTATTATCAGGTACCTATCCCAGATATTATTCTATAGTGTCTTCTGTATTACAGCTTTAGAATATGCGTCTTTAATATGTATTTACCAATTTGAGAGAGGGAAGGGAGAAGGTAGGGAGAGAAAGAGATAGATTGGGAGAGGATGTTCCCATTCACTGATTCAACCTCTAAACTTTTGTAGTGGCTGGAACTGGGAGGTACTGATATGGAGCTCAGAACGGAATTCGAGTCTCCCAGATAGGTAGCAGGAGCCCAACTATTAGAGCCTTTACTGCTGCTCTACGTGATCTACATTAGCAGGAAGCTGAAGTGAAGAGCTGAAGCCAAAGTCACAGCCATATGTGGGATGCAGACACTCCAATATGAGATTCTGGACTCAGCCAGCACACCACAGGCCAAACACCCACCCCTACATACCCACTCTAACAAGCCACTGTGATTTGACTGTAAGAGTCTGTAGACTTCCTTTTGAGTGACAACTAATTATGATTAATGATACGGGAGTCTAGAAATCTAGTTACAATCTTCAGTTTACCCATAGAAAATGCCATATTCTACACCTATAATGTATCAAATATATAGCTAGCAAATATATGCTGAATGAATGCTAAATAATTTAATATCAATGTAAGCTGTTATTAGTCAAGCATCTATTGCTGATGGGCAAAATATCAAATCATTCATATCAACAATTCAGTACAGTGCTGATATTTAGGACGCTTTGTGTATCTGTATGTTGTGACATAAAAATAAAGAAGGATGTCGGCTCAATTTCACTTGCTGCTTATTCTTCCCTATGTTCAAAGTATTTGGACAGTTGGTTTATCTATATTTGGTTCCCCACACATCATATATCATTGCAGTCAAAAGTGGAAGCTAATCCTTCCATAGCTGAGAACTGTTTTAAAGAAACAAACAAAAATAGTCACTAGTAATATGTCAGCAGTATTTCTCTGAGCTTAGTCTCTTTGACTTCTTGTATTTAGAAACCCAGTTGAACACGTAACAGATGAGTTTTCCGGTTTCCTTTTTGATTTTAGTGGGATTATAGTTCTCAGTTGTGACACATCACAGTTTTGGCCAAGATGTCTTTAACAGTTAGTAGTGAGCACCTATATGACTTTTACTGCTCTCCAGGTCTGCAGCTGGTGCCACAGGCCTCTCTGCTATCATGAGGTTATCCATGGCAATGCAAACTCCCTTCTTGTTGAAACATTGCAAAAGTCTATCCACAGAATAAGCTTCCACTAAGAAATATTTTATTCATTTTGGGGAATATAAGCCCAGGATGGTTTTTAAAAACACATTAGAATGTACTAGTATCCACCAAAAAAAGTTATCTTTTTGCAAATTCTTGTGAATTTGTGCAAGTATTCTTTCCAGCTAGGAAATGTCACTGCAGCTGAATTTTAAATCAAGTGTTCATATTTCTTTGGGGAGTTTCAGATCAGCAAAAGAAATGGAATATTTACAATTTGGTGCATAATTCATTTTCTGAGTATAACTTCATTTTTTTTCTCTTTTTTAGGCTGAATTGTGCTGAATTTTAGGCAAAAAAATGGAAATCATAAATTATTAAGAATCATTCCAGATGCTTGAATAACTAGATTATTATTGGCACCATTATCATTGTGGCTAATAAAAGCATTTATCAGGAAAGAAAAAAAAAAAAACTAGGATCTAAGGTTGCTGACAAAGGTAGCTTAATGCTTTAGTGCTTGCGTGTTATCAGCATCCATGTGGGACAGTATTTTCTTGAGTCACTTTTCTGGGCTATGTCTTCTCCAACTGCAAAACCCAGGGCACATTTCAGGCCTGTCAGCCTGCTTTGTTCTCCAGGTCATCGCCCTATCTCCTTCAGAGAACTGGCAGGGTGATAACATCTTTTAGCAGGAAGGTGTGAAATCAAGGCAGGTTTTCATAACAGCTCCTGTTCAATGTGGCTTGGTATCCACCTGAGTGGCACCATATTCTCAAGTTCTCTCAGGTTCTTTAGTTAGGTATGTAGACATGGGAGCAAAATAGGATTAAATATCTCAGCAGGTGGCTGTACCACACCACATCACTCCCAGGAATTTTATTTCTGACTCTGACTTACTTGCTCCAAGGCTCTCCAGCACCAGTGTTTATTTTCACTCAAAATTCAAATATTAATCATTCATACCTTTTGGTGAAAGCATTATCCTCTAAAAAAATGTTGACTCACTTGTCAGGAACCACCCATTGTACTGCCTTTTTTTTTTTTTTTTAAGATTTATTTATTTATTTGAAAGGCAGAGCTACAGAGATGCAGAGGCAGAGAGAGAGAGGTCTTCCACCTGCTGGTTCACTCACCAAATGGCTGCAATGGTTGGAGCTGAGCTGATCCGAAGCCAGGAGCCAGGAGCTTTTTCCGGACCTCTTACGTGGGTGCAGGAACCCAAGGACTTGTGCTATCTTCCACTGCTTTCCCAGGCCATAGCAGAATGCTGGATCGGAAGTGAAGCAGCTGAGATTTGAACCGGTGCCCTCATACGGGATGCTGGCACTGTGGTCAGCGGCTTTACCCACTACACCAGAGCATCAGCCCCTGAACTGCTTATATATACACCAAGGCTGTCCAGATACTGACAGCAGTCTGGAACTCATGGAGTTGGTTTCTCTTCCACAGGTTTCTTTGTGCTACAAGAATGGACTCCTGATGAGAGGCATAGAGGGTGGGGAAGGTTACATTTCACTTTATGATATCTTCCCCAGCCCCATTTTCCTTTAGAGCCTTTACACAAAGCTGTGAAGATCTTTATGAATGATTAAGGACAATACAACTAAAGGAAAGTACGTATCTGCTGATAGAAATAAAAAGTCACTAAGATTTAGAAACAGGCAACAAGATTTCGTGTATTTCATTTCTCTATCTAGAGTGTTGGACATTGTCTAGGGGACCCTTCTGGGGTCTGAATCTATAGCAGTTTGTATCTTTCACTGCCTTTCTATGGAAGAAACTATGCTATAATTCTGTGGATGAAGAAGTAAACTTGTTAAAAACTGATAATAATGCAAATTGTTCTTGTCTATGTAAGTACAAGTAAATTTTACTAAGTTAAGGTACAATTGATTCTATCCCATAAAAATCATAAGAATAAATATCACATATCACTGTCCTTATAAAATATTAATGGGCTTTATATCTTCTAACAAATTCATTTAGTACTGTTTATTATGCATGAGTACTTCAATGTGTGGAAAAATGAAACAAAAAGAGGTTTGTTTTGGTGTAAAATTTTTGGAATCTATGCACAGATTTTTCATAATATACATTTTCCATGAATTTTATGAAGGAATTTCATATGTATCAAACTCAAAATTCTTTGAATTAAAATTAACTTCTCTTTTAAATCTATTTTCCACAAATTGCTTGAGGTATCCTCTTATATGTCTGTCTTTCAAGCATATATTTCAACTGTCTTTACCACCTTTTTTTTTAAAATACTCAATGATATCTTTTTTTTTTAAAAAAAAAAAAGAATTATTTATTTATTTGGAAGTCAGAGTTGCAGAGAGAGAGAAGGAGAGGCGGAGAGAGAGAGCGCAGTCCTCCATCTGCTGATTCCCTCTCCAATTGACTGCGAGGGCCAGATCTGCACCCATCCAATCTAAAGCCAGGAACCAGGAGCTTCCTCCAGGTCTCCCATGGAGGTGCAGGGACCCAAGGACTTGGACCATCTTCCACTTCTTTCCCAGGCCATAGCACAGAGCTGGATTGGAAGTGGAACAGCCAGGACTTAAACTGGTGCCCACATGGGATGCCTGCACTATAGGCTGTGGCTTTACTCACTACGCCACAGCACCGGCCCTACTCAATGATATCTTTTATTCACTTTCTTCTTTGTTCTTTAAATTTTATTTAGGGTCTACAAGCTCCATACATTTCATATATAGAAATTTAGGAACATAGTGATTCTCCTCACCCACCCTCCCTTCCACGGCCTACACTCCCACCCTTTTCCTTCCTCCTTCCCTCTCCTATTCTCATTATTATTTTTACAAAGAACTATTTTCAGTTAACTTTATACTGAGATTAACCCTACACTAATTAAATAGTCCAACAAATAGAATGAAGAAACAAACAAACAAAAAACACTATTCCTTAACAGTCCAGTTCCTTAACAGTAGAGATAAGGGCTGTTCAAAGTCATCACATCTCAAAATACTTTAGCATCTTACTGGTTTCTTCATTAATTAATTAAATGAATGAAATATTTACCACATTTTCATTTTTTATTTGCCTGAGAATAGTTTTTTTAACTGCCTGAATATTGCTCAGTTGTTACAACCAATTTTAATTTTTTCAATATCTAAGAGAAGAGCTGGAAGAAACTAAACTCATGTCTTATGGATATGAGCCTTCCCAATTTCAGTCTGTTTGACTTTGGGAAGTATGTCCTCTCATATACAAATGTTCTTTAATCTTGAGGGAAATTAATCCACCTACTTTGGGCAGTTTTTAATATATGGTTGTATATTCTTAGCTGGATATTATCATTTTATTCAGAGTCCTTTCAAAGGGATCTGCATTGCGGCCCCACAGGTGAAACCCCTGACTATGATGCCAATATCCCATAAGGGCACTGGTTCATGGCCTGTCTGTTCCATTTCATATCCCACATCCTGCTAATGGCTTGACAAAAGCAGCTGAAGATAGCCCAAGTGCTTGGCCCCTGCCACCCATGTGGAAGACCCCAATGAAGCTTCTGGCTCCTGGCTTGGGCCTAGTCCTGACCCAGCTATTGTGGCCATCTGGAGTGTGAACCAATGGATTGACGATCTCCCTTCCTCTGTCTCTGTAATCAAATAAATAAATATTAAAGGAAAAAAAAAAGATTCCCTAATGAGAGAACTTCAAAATTCTTAGAAAAAGTATACTGTGTAGCCACTGGAATGCATGTCTTGCATATGTACATACATTCACACTGCCCATACATTGAAAACTTCCCCTTTGATAAAAACATTAGCTGTCATACACAGTGATTCTGCAGCTTAAATAATTAAGAAAAATATCATAACTTCTTTCTATTTTAAAATATTGCCATCTCAGGCCCATTACTGGCACATGCATGTTGTGAGAGTTCTTTTCTTCGTCACAGAAAATGAATAAATTGGTGCATCGACAATGAGCAAGGTCAAACTTTGAATCAAGGCATCATTTTCCCTTTAGTCTTTGGACATGGCAAAATAAAAAGTTTTATTCCCAAGCTACATAACAAAAGTCTTAAGGATAAATATTTTAAATACTAGGGAATAGTAAAAAAGTTGAGACTAAACATTTATTATGTCTTTTAATTTAGTGAAGAGAGTAGAGAACAAGAGACATACCACAGGATTCTGTCATTCTGAGTATTGTGGATATTTTTATTCAAACTATGAATCCTGCACTGCAGTATCAGAAACATGAGAGTTAAGCAAAAGTGTAGATTTTGGGGCCCTATCCTAGACCACATTGAATTAAAATCCCTGAAGGTAGTGACCAGGAATCTGTCTTTTTAAAAATATTTATTTATTTATTTGAAAGGCAAAGTTGTATATAGAGAGAGTGAGAGACAGAGAGAAAGATATTCCATCCACTGGTTCACTCCCCAAATGTCACCACAGCAAAGAGCCAGGCCTCCTACATAGGTATAGGTGCCCAACTACTTAGGCAACATTCTGCTGCTTTCCTAAGATTGTTAGCAGAGAGCTGGATAAGAAGTGGAGTTGCCAGGACTTGAACCAGAAGTTGAATAGGATACATGCATCACTGGTGGTAGCTTAACTCACTACCCTGCAATGCTGCCCCTAGAAATCTGTTTTTAACAACTTATCTAGATGATTCTGATATATGCTGAAATTTGAGAATAACTAAATTATATACATTTTTATATTAGTGTAGAGCAAAGAAATTAGGAAAAAAAAAATAGGTAGGTCTCCAGGCTTTTTACCCATCCTCTAATCCATACTTATCCTAGTAAGCTTAAATCATTGTCTGTGCTATGTTTGATCTGTACTTAAAATGATTTGCTTGAAATTTGACCCCAATGTTAGGGAAAGAAAAAAGTTTTGGCTTTGTCGTTTGCTATGGGAGTTAACTATTGTAGGGTATACTTTCGTTGTGAATTGATTTTTCAATCAATCATGTAATTCATCTATGGAGAAAAAAATGGGTGCTACGTTGAGAAGCAGAAATAGTTGGCCAAGGAGTAGCATGTGTGTCTTCTTGCTTAGTTCTTCTGATGACCTCATAGGCACTCTTTCTATGTGCTTTTTGTTTTCCATTTATAGAAACATGATAAAAATACATTATGTAAATAGCTAACAGTGTTTGAGAAAACACACTAAAAAGTAAAATAGCAAAATAGAGAGAAGGGCATAAAATAAATAAGATTAAGTGACAAAATAAAAATTAAAAATAAATAAGATGCATTAGGAGACAAGATAAAACAAAAATAAAAAGAAAATAATTAAATATGATTATTATAGTACA